AGGTGGCTTCCACAGGACACTGGAAGGGGCAGTAGCTGTGGCCTTTTGGTAGGATTCCAATTCGTCGGTCATCCGACGTGACGTCGAGAGTGACCAACTGAAAGGGAACGTCTCGGTTACGTATGGTAACCCTCGTTCCCTGAAGGAGGGAACGGAGACGTCACGTCCCAGCGCCACAGCTCCTGTACCACCGCTGAGCGGCCGGGTCACCGGCTCGGCTCCTCAGCGAAAACCTGAATATGCGCTTATACTCACGCTGTGATCAGCGGCAGCTGGATGCAATAATCGCATGCCAATGTGCATTGGCTCGTTTAGTTTACACTCGAAGTAGATTGGTCTCTCTAAGCGAGATCCCAATTCGTCGGTCATCCGACGTGACGTCTCCGTTCCCTCCTTCAGGGAACGAGGGTTACCATATGTAACCGAGACGTTATTCATTTTTATTTCAGTTTTTGTTTCTTTATTTCCTCATCTTGAAATCAATTCAAATGAATTGAAATTAAAATTTCAGCTAGCTGAAATTGAATAATTTTTATCTTTTTTTTATACTTTATTTCAGTTAATTTTAAGTAATGATATCAGTTAATCATAATTGCATCTTTTTATTAGTACAATCCATCCCGAATCATGAGAGGCACTGCCAAAACGCAGGTTAATCTTTAACTGTGAATAACTCTGAAAGGGAAAAGGAGCATATATTTAATATTTCATATTGCTGATATGTCGAATTTTGTGTGCAACCACCTAGCTGTGTTTTAGTGTTATCCTTCATCTCACCCTCAACATCATTCTGAATTTCCCTCCGATTACTCTTGGGCTGGGCATCTTCTCATAGAAAGCTCAGTTTTCTGGTTTAATGGGACAGAATGGGTCTCGGCGGCAGGCCTGGCACCCGTTATTTCCCCCGAGCGCTGACAGCGCCCACGTTCCCTCATCCGCTTAGATCCGTGTCAACATAACTACAGCCCTGTCACACCATGTCATCGCCCTGAGTGGAAAATAACTGGATTGCTGAGAGAAACAGACCTTGCTTATTGAGTGCAGACAGGAATTACTGCACAGCGCTGCTGGGAAATCAAAGCACAATCCAAGTTTCTGATCAGTGTTAATGTCGTTTCATCTCTGTGCAGTTCTTAGGCCTCCACGTTCACGACCATGCAGAGGAAAACTTGGATTATGTGTACAAACTGCTGGTGCTTATTGCGGGCATCTATTTTTTCTACCTGATGGAAGGCATCTTCTCCATCATTACCCGCCGAGAACATCACCATAATCATGATGAAGTGAGTCTTTCGTGCTGTTTGAGAGGTCCGAGACGATTATAAATCCATTCCCAAACCGCTAACATGATGCTGTGCTCGCAGGAGGAGTCTGATGTTCATCACAAAGTCCTGCAGATGTTCCAGCGAGAGAAACAGAACAAACACTCCAGCTCACAGGCCGATCTGGTGAGAAAATCATATAGAAATAGACTTAAATAGCGAGAAAAGCAGAAAACAGTCTTTGCTGGTGAATAAACTAATAATAATGGGGTCTAAATTCAGAAACAGTGTTTTTTTTTTTTTTTTGCATCATTGGTATTTTATTATTATTTTAAATAAATAATTTAGTCATTTAGATCTATTTAATTGTTTTATTTTTATATTTTCTGTTTTTATTTTAATTTTTAGTACTTTTGTTCTGTTTAATTTGTGATTTTGTCATTTGTATTAATTTTTTAAATGTCTATATAGTTTTTATTAACGCTTTGGCAACTAGATTAAATAAAATATATATTTATTTTTTTTTCATTTTTTATATTTTCTGTTTTTATTTCAATTTTAAGTTTTAGTACTTTTGTTCTGTTTAATTTGTGATTTTGTCATTTGTATTCCTTTTTTAATGTCTATATAGTTTTTATTAACGCTTTGGCAACTAGATTAAATAAAATATATATTTTTTTTTTTTTTTTCATTTTTTATATTTTCTGTTTTTATTTCAATTTTAAGTTTTAGTACTTTTGTTCTGTTTAATTTGTGATTTTGTCATTTGTATTAATTTTTTAAATGTCTATATAGTTTTTATTAACGCTTTGGCAACTAGATTAAATAAAATATATATATATAATTGTTTTCATTTTTTATATTTTCTGTTTTTATTTTAATTTTAAGTTTTAGTACTTTTGTTCTGTTTAATTTGTGATTTTGTCATTTGTATTCATTTTTTAAATGTCTATATAGTTTTTATTAACGCTTTGGCAACTAGATTAAATAAAATATATATATATAATTGTTTTCATTTTTTATATTTTCTGTTTTTATTTTAATTTTAAGTTTTAGTACTTTTGTTCTGTTTAATTTGTGATTTTGTCATTTGTATTAATTTTTTAAATGTCTATATAGTTTTTATTAACGCTTTGGCAACTAGATTAAATAAAATATATATATATATATTTTTTTTCATTTTTCATATTTTCTGTTTTTATTTTAATTTTAAGTTTTAGTACTTTTGTTCTGTTTAATTTGTGATTTTGTCATTTGTATTACTTTTTTAATGTCTATATAGTTTTTATTAACGCTTTGGCAACTAGATTAAATAAAATATATATTTATTTTTTTTTCATTTTTTATATTTTCTGTTTTTATTTCAATTTTAAGTTTTAGTACTTTTGTTCTGTTTAATTTGTGATTTTGTCATTTGTATTACTTTTTTAATGTCTATATAGTTTTTATTAACGCTTTGGCAACTAGATTAAATAAAATATATATTTATTTTTTTTTCATTTTTTATATTTTCTGTTTTTATTTCAATTTTAAGTTTTAGTACTTTTGTTCTGTTTAATTTGTGATTTTGTCATTTGTATTAATTTTTTAAATGTCTATATAGTTTTTATTAACGCTTTGGCAACTAGATTAAATAAAATATATATATATATATTTTTTTTCATTTTTCATATTTTCTGTTTTTATTTTAATTTTAAGTTTTAGTACTTTTGTTCTGTTTAATTTGTGATTTTGTCATTTTTATTAATTTTTTTAATGCCTATATCTGGCATATATGCCTATTGTTTTTATCAATGCACTGGCAACTAGATGAAATAAAATATATTTTTATATATATTTTATTTCAGTTAACATTTATTGTATTTCCAGTAATGAAAATGTTTATAGTTTTAGTTAACAATAATAGTCCTGTTCATACATTTGAAGCTAGTAACAAAATGTAACAATTAAATGATCTCAGTTTCTGAGTTTCTTTAAATATTAAATTTAGATTGTGTTCACAGATTTGATTAAATATTTTTTGAATATCTGTATTTGTGATGAGTTTTGTATTATTATTTTATTAAAATACTTAATAATTATATTTAATGATATAGTTAATTATTAATTAATTTTTTAATGATTAATGTTTTGTTGGTGGTTATTATTATTATTATTATTATTATTATTATTATTATTTAATAATTCATTATTATTGAAGGTGGATGCCGAAAAAAGAGAAAAGTCCTTCCTTGAACCTGTTATCCCCAAAAAAGGTAATTATTCACAACTTTTGAGTTAATGATATATTACTAAAATAAACAATGACACACATCTAAGAGAGTAAAATGACCGTTGGGTTAATAATATCCCATCAGGCCACTAGTATAAAAGGTTTCATGAATTATCATCGTCTTCTCTTCTCCCTCAGAGCAGCGTTTGCTTCCCTATATGATCACCATTGGAGACAGCATCCATAACTTTGCGGACGGTCTGGCGATCGGCGCGGCATTCTCCATCTCGTGGCGGTCCGGTCTGGCCACGTCTCTGGCTGTGCTCTGCCATGAGCTGCCGCATGAGTTAGGTGAGCGTCATTGTGCTTGTTCGACATTAATACAGATAAATACTCAACAGAGATGCACACACAGACACATGCATAAACTACAATACATAGTGAGCTGCCTTGCTGGCTACTGCACATAAAGGCAGAATCATAACAGAAGTGATGGATTTGGAACACTCTGCATAGACAGTATGTAGAGTTTGATGTTAACTTGCTTTAATAAGCATAAAATACACAGCATTTTTCAGTTTGAGTGAAGTATGTGTTATAGATGCTATCTAGTATTGAATTAAATAATATTGATATTATTGTAAATATACGTAATATTATACATTTTTCACAATTTTTTCCTGAACTTGGTGCATTACAATTTAAAATAAGTGTTTTCCATTTTAATATATGTTGAAATGTAATTTATTGCTGTGATGCAAAGCTGAATTTTTTGAAGAAAGGTGTGCTTATACTGTCTTACAACGAAATAAAGTTACATGCATCTCTGTGCTAGTGAAAAAATCATTTTCAGTTCTTTTTTTGCTTAATTCAACCAGGGTTATTATAAAACTAAAACTAAAATAATTCAAAAATGCATTACTTGAAATAAAAAATAATTTACGGCTCAGCAATCACTCTTATATAGCACAGGAGACTATAAAGTTTCACAAAAGCTGTTAAGAAATGCCTGAATCAAATTTCACTCCAAAATTAAAAGAAAGAAGAAAGAAATTATGAATTATATTTTGCACAAAAAAGCCTATTTTACGATCATTAAATTTTTTTTTTCTTTTTGTATTTTGACATTATTTTCATTACAATGCAAAAAGGAAGGGAAAATGCTGGGAAATTATCATAAAAAAATATGTGCTTGGTTTTCTAAGTGGCAGAAAACAGCAGGAAACTTCAGCAAAAGTCTTCATTTTTTTAATAACATTGTTGTCTATGAGAAATAATTGAAACATTAAAGAGACCTCAATTGTGATTTTTTAAAAAAATTTTACATTTTGAATATTTAGTCAAATATTTTCAGTCATTTTCATGTTCAGGTGATTTTGCGATCCTGTTGCACTGTGGTTTGTCGGTCAAACGGGCTCTGCTGCTGAACGTGGCCAGCTCTCTTACCTCCTTCATCGGCCTGTACATCGCTCTGTCTGTCTCCACGGAAACGGTTGCTAAGAAGTGGATTTCGGCTGTCACTGCCGGCCTCTTTCTGTACGTTGGTCTGGCAGACATGGTACGTTACAGTCTGTTCAGTCTAAAATGTTATTTCACATAACTACAGTATCTGTCTAGCTGTGAACCGTTTTCTCTTTCAAACTTGTTCAAACTCTCAGCTTGTCAAAAACAACAGCCATGTTTGCTGTCTGACTCTAAGCTCAAGTTAAATTTCCCTTTTTCCTCTGTTTTTCTCATCTAGCTTCCCTCTCTTGTTCACGTGGACAGTAAAAGACCTTAATTGAAACATTAAAGAGACCTCAATTGTGATTTTTTTTAAAAATTTTACATTTTGAATATTTAGTCAAATATTTTCAGTCATTTTCATGTTCAGGTGATTTTGCGATCCTGTTACACTGTGGTTTGTCGGTCAAACGGGCTCTGCTGCTGAACGTGGCCAGCTCTCTCACCTCCTTCATCGGCCTGTACATCGCTCTGTCTGTCTCCACGGAAACGGTTGCTAAGGAGTGGATTTCGGCTGTCACTGCCGGCCTCTTTCTGTACGTTGGTCTGGCAGACATGGTACGTTACAGTCTGTTCAGTCTAAAATGTTATTTCACATAACTACAGTATCTGTCTAGCTGTGAACCGTTTTCTCTTTCAAACTTGTTCAAACTCTCAGCTTGTCAAAAACAACAGCCATGTTTGCTGTCTGACTCTAAGCTCAAGTTAAATTTCCCTTTTTCCTCTGTTTTTCTCATCTAGCTTCCCTCTCTTGTTCACGTGGACAGTAAAAGACCTTGGCTGATATTTTTACTGCAGAATCTGGAACTTTTGAGCGGTTGGGGCATTTTGTTGCTCTTGTCCTTTAATGAAGACCAAATAGGGCTCTAAATAGGGAGCATTTGTTTTTATTTGTGCCTTGTTCCTATATATCTGTCTGTGTAACTAACATGCTAGATGAAATATGCGCAATCAGTGCAGCCCTAGGCATTTTCATATGGAACATTTTTAGTGTTTTTAAATTACACTTGGATGGAAAAGCCTGTGGTTTAGGAATCAACTTTGTGCACCTTAAATCAAAGAAAACTTTTGTACATTTTCTAGATTCATCCTTTCTCATTCATCAATATGAAGCAATAATTCAGTTCACTCAAGATGACTCACTGTCTTTGAATCGAAATGATGTATTTTGATGAGTAAATACATACAGGATATTTCTGTACTGTATCTTTGAAATATTTGTGTGTGTGTGTGTGTGTGTGTACCTGGTATTTATCACGTTATGGGGACCAAATGTCCCCACAAGGATAGTAATACTAGTCAATTTTGACCTTGTGGGGACATTTTTGAGGTCCCCATGAGGAAACAAGCTTATAAATCATACAGAATTAGTTTTTTTGAGAAAGTAAAAATGCAGAAAGTTTCCTGTGAGGGGTAGGTTTAGGGGTAGGGTTGGTGTAGGGCAATAGCACATACAGTTTGTACAGTATAAAAACCATTACGCCTATGGAATGTCCCCATAAAACATGGAAACACAACATTGTGTGTGTGTGTGTGTGTGTGTGTGTGTGTGTGTGTGTGTGTGTGTGTGTGGTTATATGAGCTATTTGTGATGTTGTCCTCGGGTCAAACTCTAAATATCGGGTTCACAAGGTTTGTCTGGCATTACTGAACTGAACCACACCTCACAACCTCAAGACACACTCTACACAGAACCGTAGGACAATTACAGGCTAAAATAACCTAAATAATCATTTTAGCACTTACATTATGAACCTGCTTTTTGGATGTTGTGACCATTTCTTTATCGTACAATTGTTTGCTTGAAGGTTCAAATATAAGCAACCATTTCGGTTATTTCATGAACAACTGCAAACATTAGTTTAAACTGATATTGAGAGCAAACCACAGCATTTTCCTCGTTCCAATGCACTATTGAAAGTGTTTTATTATATATTTTTAGACGTTTTAACTGTCTAGTAATCTGCTAGTAATCTGTGGCATGTCAACAGGAAAGAGGGAAAATTAATTTCTGGCTATTTCTAATTTGTTTACACGATTATTCAGTTCATTTCCACCCACTAGTGTCTTTCAGAAGTGATTTTCTGAAAAAGCAAGCATGACCAGGTAATTAATATGTCAATCAAATGAAGGAAAAGGGAAGGACACAATATATACAATGAGTGCAATGCACAGACATCCAGTTAAAATGGCATTATTATCTGTCAGTTATCTATCAGTTTGTACTATCCAAAGTACAGGCCTACTTCCACAGTCTTCCAAGTATGTAGACTAATTTATCTGATGGTTTTGGATTTGGTTTATTGAAGCCTAATTAAGTCCTGACACATGAGAGGCCTGAGCAAAGGCCCAAACTAAACCACAGTCACATGAAACATCTAATCAGCTCAGACACACGGCAGTAACTTCACATGACCAACTAGAATCTGGATTATAAAAGTAATTTTTGGATTGAAGTATTTGGGGAATGTTTGACATTCACATCAACTCAGAATGCTTGTGGAGATGATGGTGAATAACATAATGCTGCCCTCTAGTGTACAGGCAGTGTAAGTGCACATGCCATCCATAGGTCACTCTAGTGTTTTATATTTATATAGTTATATATTTAAAAGGTACTATATATTTTCATTTGTAAAAGACTCAATTCATACTGTGAAAAATTATAAGATGATATTTATAATTATTACAATATTTTATAACATAAAAATTACATTATAAATATGTTTAAAATATTATTTGGAAAATATTTCGTTCTAAATAGTTTATTTTGTATTTATTTAGTTCATTTTGTTTACTTTTTTTTTTTTTTTTACACTGCAAAGGTGGCACAGAAGCGCTTCTGAAGTGGAAATTAGGATTTCTTTCTTAACATGCTGCTGCTCAGAGGTGCATAAATGCATTTACACAGCAGTTGGGTTAAGGTAGGTCCAAGCAGGCATAATTGAGTCTTTTTAGGCTTTTATGCGATATTCCATCTTTTTAAGCAGGCAGCAGCCTTAACTCAGCTGTGTAAAGATGCCTCAGGTCACATACATACACTTTATTAAATAATTAGAAGAATAAATGCACTTTTTATGCAAGTATTTGTGTCTATATAGCACTAGGGAATGGGATGTGGCTATAATTCCCAGCATGCCTTGCAGCTCCAGTAGCCTACAGGCTATTCTTTACTGTTTCACACTCACAGTTGCCTATGTCCTGTGTGTCGTTTATGTGGTGTTAGTCTAAAATGCACATTTCCCTTTGCAAGTGTTGGTGTTTGGTGTAAAGCAAAGCTTTGTAATAATCATACACAGTCTGTTGATATTGCTTCTTTTTTTTAACCAGATGTTTCAGAGAGTGATTGAATTGGTTAGAAAACTACACACATCAATGCAAATGAATCGCTCAAATCTATTTGTGGGTTTTGTTCTTTTGCTGTGGCAAGCTGTGAAGACCTTTGAAATAACTGAAATCTGAAAACTGGTGAAGTGATATGAAAGTTTAATGCGGTTAATCAGATTCAAGCATTCGACAGACAGCCCAATGATTAGGCCTATATAGCGTATAGATTCGGTGAATCGTTTCTTTATTCAGTGGGTTCATGATTCGTCCGAACGGATCTGAATCGAATCGGTGAGGAAATGTCAGTAGGCCTACTGTAGAGCGCGTTTGGATTGATGTTTGAACTTGACTTTGTGTTCAATGTAACTTAATAAATAAATAAAAACATTGAACCTTTTTGTTAGGACACACCGCTTGCCCACGTACTGCACTGTTTAGAAATCAGACAAAATTAAACTTCTAGATTGACTCCTTTCTTAGTTATTATAAGTTCCAGACCATCATATTTACAGTAGGCCTCCGTCATCATACTTGTAGTAAGTGTCTCACATGATACGAAAGCAGATGCTGTGGTTTTACAGTTTCAAGCTGAATCCCAAAGATAATGGCAGCAGTCAAAGTTCTTCTCCTGATTTTGTTTATTTTCCCCTCTCAGAGTGGTAAGAAAACTATTTTTGGGTCGGATTTTTCTCAATTTTTATTCTTACTGTGCATTCATTGCATTCACTTGTCTGTATTAGACTGTAAAGATAGTAGCTATTTCTCCCTTACGAAAATTAACCATGGTTTTATTATAGTAAAGGAGTAGAAACCATGTTTTTTCTTGCCGTTGGCTTGATTACCATTTGTATATCCACAGTTTTACTAGGCCTATAAATTTCATGGTTAAACTATGATTCATGTATGGTTCTAATGATCTGTGTCTGATGCTGAAAAGTTTGGTAATGTTTGATGCTCATCATCAATCTTGATGTATTCTTCCAGTGTTTGCTTTGACCTTTTAATTGCTCAGGTTTAGGTTTAAACTTTGGACATATCTGTTACACTGCTGCATGATGATATTTTTTTTTTCCATGTTTGAATGTGTTTCTTCTCTCTTCTTCTTTCAGAAATATGTTCTCTGTACTACACGTATAGCGCCATATCAAAATATCCAATCTCTAGAGAAATGTATGGATTTTACAACTCAGTCAAACTCAATGGCATTCAGATGAGTTTCTGTAAGAGTGTGAATAAAGCAGACTTCTTGTCACAGTTGTGTGAGGAATCTGAGAGACTCTTTAGAAATTAAAGTGATGAGTTGAATTATAAACAACAATGGCTTCAAACCAACCTCATCACACTGATGGACCAGATAAATTATAACAGGATAAACGACACAGGTAAATATTCATTAACCAGCATGCAAAAGATGTATTATTCAGAGTATTTGAATGTAGAGAAACAATGTTCAACATTTTAAATAATATCATTGTCAAATTTAATGAATTTTGTCATATTATGTGTGTGTCTTTAGATCTTCATGTTCTTCAGTGGAGACACGGCTGTGTGGTTGAACTTCTCTCTAATGGTTCAGTAATATTTCTTCAAGGCACTGATGAATACGCCTATGATGGAGAGACTTTGACCTTTAACCTCTCTATGCTCTGGAAACCTTTAGTCCTTGATCATGGCTTCATCTGGAACAGAGAATCAGTTTCCAGTCTGGAGAGGAAATGTGTGGAAACGTTAACCAGCTTCACTGACCTTCAACGAGAGGGAAAAAGTTTATCTCACTTATAGTTCACATGAGAATCTGTAGGATTCTCATTTGAATGAGTTTTTTCATGGTGGTTTATTATTTCAGTGAATCATGTCTGTGTGTCCTGCAGCTCGTCCTGAGGTTTACTCTTCTGTAAAAGCATCTGGATCAGCGGACCAGCAGGTTCTGGTGTGTTTGGCCACAGGCTTCTACCCTAAACATGTGCAGATGGAGATCAGACGCGATCAGACGCCGTTACCTGATGAGCAGCTGAACTCACATGGAATCAGACCAAACACAGACGGATCTTTTCAGCTGATGAAGAGCCTGCAGATCCTGCCGTCTGAAAGATCTCACTATCAGTGTGTGGTGAAGCACCAGACTCTGACTGAATCACTATCAGCTGGGGTAACGGTGATGATGATTATTATGAAGATTATTATGACATGGATTACAGCGATGGGTATTTTGTGTTAAATGATTTAGAGGATTTCACTAAAAGTAGCCTGTGGGTGTTAGGTGCAGTCTTTGGACTCATAGTTAATTTGATCATTGTTGCTGTTCTCCTATCCATTGTTTTCACATTTTGTCAACTGAGAAAATACACTCTCAGAAAAAAAGGTACAAAAGCTGTCACTGGGGCGGTACCTTTTCAACCTTTTGAAAAGGTACTGCCCCAGTGACAACTTTTGTACCTTTTTTTCTGAGAGTGTATGATAAACCTCCAGGTGAGTATTATTTAAGTCCCTTAAAGTCACATAAATATGCATAGAAGAGGAGAGTGACTTTTAATGTTTACAAT